AAAATTGGAAGATTATGGTTTTGTTATTATCGACTTCTGATGTCGAGTCGCAACAATATTCGCTTTAAATGTACACGTTTTATACTTTGTACGCAAATTGTGAAACAATCTTGGTTTGGATTAAGAATTACATGAAAAAACAATACTGTGTTTTTAGAATTAGACTTAGATACCTAATATAAAGAATTAGAAAAATTATGTATGCGTGCGATATTGATGTAATATGTAGTCTAGTAGATGTGTAGTCAATAACACATAAATTGTATGTATATAAGTCCTGAATCGCTAATATAGTCGGCTTTAGAATCTTCTTAAAATATGCAAAATGGTCTCTTCCTCTGCAAAATGTTTCCTAATAACAAGTATCTCATTAATTACCTATTTCTTTTCCTGTTTGAAATAAAAAGAGTATTTCACTATTGCTTTCAATTTCAGCAAATTTGGTAATTATTATAAAATTGACATAATCGTAATTGTAAATTGTAACTATCAGAAAAAGCTATTTTTTGCTAGAATTAATTTAATATTTAAATTTTTAATATTTAAATTTACTATTAAATATACGATCCTTGTATATATATTTAAATTTGTTTATATTTGTTATTTGTTATTATAATTTGTATGAGCACATACTTATTTATTGATCGAAAAGTAGATTAAATTTTATTTTTAAATAATGAATTCAGTTGCCTGGACTTTATATATAAAACCTGCACAATTACAGAACGATTATGTAAATCACTGAATACTAGAGACAATGAAATCTCTTTTTTTATGTATGTGTATATTTGCTTTTATATTTAATACATGCGGATTTGCATAGAACTTGAAAGTCAAGAAAATTATTCTAATAAAGTGCATGTACAATAAAAATTGTATATTGAAAATTTTAATAATTATTGTGAAATCACTTAATAGTAACAGAATTACTCAGCAGCACAACAAAGCTCTAACAAAGATAAGAAAGATTAAATTTAACCGTTTGCAAAAAAGAAAAGGTATATAACAAACAATTCGAAATGATTTCGGAAAATAGTTTTAAAATTGTTATTTTATAAAACTAATCATACAGAAAATATATAGATCTTTATTATGTAACATCTTGCATTCTCTTAGTTATATTGAGAATGATAAGCCACTTCCAATAATTATTGTAAAAATTTTATATACTATTATGCTATATTATATTTGATAACTGACTTTTTTATTTATATTTAATTTAACTATATTTATTTATATTTAGATAAGAATATATACATAATGTTATTTAGAGCAAAATTTCAGAATTTTTCAGAATATTTTTTTTAACTGCTGTACGCGATGATTTTTAATGAAGTTGTGAGCAATCAAAGTCAAAATGCTTTTTTTATTTAACTTGGGATGACACAATAACAAAAAAAATCTTAGGAACATAAAAAAATGGTTTGGTAAGGAAAATTTTAAGCGTTCATATCAAAATTTTTTAAAGCCCATAAAGTGACAAGAAAATTTCCCATTTTATCCAACTTTCAGTTTTTTATATGTAAAAATTATCAAATTTACAAAAATTCAAATAATATAATAATCCTTTGAAAGTAAAAATTTTAATCTTTTTTGAAATTTAAATTTAATTCATTTTTAACAAATATATTCTATAATTTTGAATTAAAAATTACTTTCTTTTCAACTCAATATTTGGATACTCAAACTGATTGCTAAAATGTCAAAACTTTTTGCAGCATTATTCATTATGTGCTTGAGTGACTTACTTAAAATAATTTTAATAGTCTATTTTAATAGTCTAATAAAATAATTTTCAGATATCCAAGATAAATTTATAGATATTGTATA